TGATTATATTTTGAAAAAAAGAACACGGTTTTCAAAATTGCATGTAAACAATTGAAAAAAACTGTAAAACAGTAGCTGCACGACTGAGACAGAGGCTGGAAGTAACTAAATTTATTTAGTATAAAGAGTTTATAAAATGTGATATTTTGTTATAAATGAGTACAGGTGAAACCATCAGTCCATTAATCAATGAGTCAGTGATTGTAATCATTTAAATGTATTTGTAATGATTTGGACTGTTGGTTGTAAGGGTATCACTATGAACTTTGAAAGCATTTCTCACCATTTTAATAATTAAAAAAAAAAAATCTAATCAATAGATTAATAGATTAATAATCAGCAGATGAATCCATAATAAAATAATAAATACGAAATCCTATATATAAGTACAATGGATTAATATGTTATTATGCTCATTATACGCACACACTTTACTGTAATGGAGTATTTTCACTTTGTGGTATTTGTACTTTTACTGCAGTGAGTACTTCTTCCTCCACTGTGAACGAGTCTCTGCAGGATCTCTGCAGTTTCACATTCTCAGCTTTAGGAGAATAACCTGCCCTTTCCTCTCCATAACACACAGACGGACTCTGGTGGTGAACAATGACTCGTTCATTGTGTATAAAGTAACATTCACATTGCAGCTGCTGCATAAAACAACACGAGCAAGGATCACTGCGACGCTGCAGCTCTTTCAACTCCATCTGAATCCGGATCTGCCCGGTCTCTTTTGTTGGAGTTGAGCTGACAACGTCCTGCTCGCAGTGCATCAGGCAGATCGCTAGACACAATTATACATTACTTTTGGAGCTGATCATCAAGAGTTCATTTGAAGAAGAATTATTCTGAACTGAAGATTAAAAGTTCTTTTTGTTATTTCTATTTTTATTATTTGTTTCATTGGACTGAGAACTAAAGAGAGAGAGTTACATTATTTAATTGGAGGGACAGGAGAGGGATTTCTTTCCTTTTCTGTATTTGAGGAATTGTTGGCTGCCGCTGGTTATTTCCTATATTTATACAGTACAGATTATATATAGAGTTATTTCATTAGAAAGAGGAGAGATAATTTAAACATCATAACCATTTGTTTCCTCTAAAGCTGCGATGGTAAACGGGCTGTACTTATATAGAGTGCTTTTCCACTACATTCACCCATTCACACACACATTCATACAGTCAAACATTAACTAACTCATTCATACACAGTATCAGGAGCAGTTTGGGGTTCAGTATTTTGCTCCAGGACACTTCGACGTGCAGCGGGAGGAGCCAGCGATCGAACCGGCAACCTTCTGATTAGTGGACGACCGGCTCCGGAGCCACAGACGCCCTCGTTAGTCAACAGAAAATTAATCAGCAACTCCTTTGAAAACACCAAACGTCTGACGGTTCTATTAGGGATTAACTGATACCGGTACTAGGTCCGATACTGTGTTCATGTCACTAATCATAAAACTATTCAGATACGTTTTTGAAGCAGCGTAAACTCTGGAGCAGGTGGAGGAGAAGCAACGTCAATAGTTTGGAGATATTTTAAGAAACCAACATTAGCAACATCTTATTTTTAATTCATACGTTCATTTATACTGAAAACAAGTTTTGTTTTGTTGTGATATTATTTATCCATAAAGTTAGGATAAAGATGTGTTATTGAAAATAAAACATTTGGGTCCAAATTTTTTTTCAATTTCATTTAAATTAAAGGTGCAGAAGTAAATGTTTCTGATTAATCTGGTGAAACCTGAGACTTTTATTGTGAAATAAAATGACCTTTCCTTCAGCAAGGAGGTCAGCCTTTTTCTTAGAAGGAGGCAGTGAGGGAGTTTTTCATCTGTATTCACCTCTCCTCCCTCCATCCTGTGATCCTGTTCTGGCTCAGGTATTTTCCATTTCCCCCCTAAAACCAGGTATTAGTCTAATCGCTGAGCTCTCTGCAGCACCACGAAGCGCTCACGTCCTAATAAGTGATGAATCCTGCCTGAACCCGGCAGACCGACTGATCCCCACAGTACAAGGTGCAGCATACAAAAAACATACACACAACACCTCCTACATTCAGGAATTACACTGCACCCTCAGGGTCTACAATCACTGCTAAACCAGGAATTAGATCCAGTCCAATCCTCTGGAATACACTGCTGCACTGAGCTGAGTCGCATTGTTCAGAAGGTGAAGAGTCGTGTGTTTCTGCAGGTTTGGGCCAAAATTAAAAAAAATAAAAGTATCTCACGACACGCATTAAATTCCTCAAACACTGATCAGTGTATCCATATAAAAACATTCACATGAACTAAACTTAAAGGCATCAGAAATATGCGGGTGAGAGGTGGAGTCTCAGTCTGTGACCTGCAGCACATAAAAACTCCAAACAAACAGCAGCACAGAGTCAGAGGTCAAACATGCAACACATTTGTGGACACGTCCTCTGGGTCTGTGAGACTCACCTGGACTCTGTTTAACATCCCAACAAACGGAGATAAACTGCACTAAAGGGCTTCAATAACACTCTGAAACCCTGACTGTGGGGAGCAGCTCTCACTTTGTTATGTGAACGGAAACTTCACACCTACCTCGACTCCTTAACTAATGATCAGCAACACCTGAGTTCATTAACAGCAGGTGAGTTCGCATGTTACAAACTACAAGGCGATTAAAGACAAAAAGCCAATGATGGCTTGAATTATGGCGGAATCCAAATGTCCACCCTCAGTCCTCGAGGACTTCAGTCGATGTGACGTGTTCACCATCATCACGAGAAGTCCGCACCCCAAGCGGACTCTCTGGAAATCTGTAGAAGTCGGCTTGGGGCCCCTTGTGGACTGGATGAATTGTGGGTTTGAACAGCCCTCAGCCCTCACAGACATCCCAGGAATGCACTTGCAAATTCCACGAGTCTGCAAGAGCGCTAAAGTCCGGATATTCAGATTCAGCCAGCCTCTCTTTTTCTAAGGAAGGCTCTTGACTTTGCTTGAGCTGGAAGTATCCAAGTGGCAGCCATGATACCACCTGGTTGGCTTTTCTAAATGCCCCACTGCTTCCTTTCTTCTCTCCTTTAGCGTAGGACACTGTGCCATCCTTCACCTTTAAGGAAACCCCAGTCCTCCCAGGAAGGCGCCATGTTGCGATCGCAACAATTAAAGCAAATTTAATCAATCCCAGAATTTTGTCTGATCACTGCAAATATTCTGCAAGTTTGTAACTTCCACCAATCATAGCAGCCCACCACACGAACCGCTGAGCCACACATCACCAAACTACTTTTATTCTCACTGGAACAAGTTGTTTTACATTTTTTATGAATTCTACAAAAAATTATTTTGTTTTTGCAATTGTAACTTTCTCCTGCAATTATATTTTTATATAATTATTATTATACTTTTATTGCATAATAAATCAGGCTGTTTAGGTCCCAGCAATCCCCCCCAAAAAGCCAGCAAAATCTTGTAGAGCCTGAAATACAGTACATACAACATATAAAGCGACACCCCATTCAGCCGTCAGTGAAAATAAACAACGATCAACAGACTATACGAGCCAAAGTCATCATAACGTACTTTCTTCTTTTTATGAGTTTTATGGCAGTTGGCATCCATAAGTTTAACATCCCAACAAACAGAGATAAACTGCACTGAGCGGCTTTAATAAC